AAAGGAAATGAACAAATAAACGCGTGTCAGACATTCCTACCCAAGATGGAAGGCGTGATCTGTTTAGCTGTGGACAAAGTGGGAGGAGGCGGAAGGGAACGCAGACACCCCTGAGGGGACATGCGGGTCCAGCCTAGCCTCCTGCACCTGCGGTGCATTCCCCATCGCCCACCCTCAGAACTGCGCCCTCAAGAACTAGTGAGGCTTCAAGGGGCAACTCACTCCATCATTTTCACTCTCATATTTACTAAGGCAAGAAAAATTAGCACATTTTTTTCAAACATTTCAAACAAAAATGTATCCCTGGAGCTGATGGTAATCTATTTTAGAACGGCTCCAGCAAGGACCTTGCCTCAAACTGTCTCCCTGTGTGGAAAACACACACAAAGCATTTTTTTTTTTTGCAGAATTTCCTGCATCCCCTTCTTGTGATTGAGTAGGCGCCCCCGCCCCTCTCCCCAAGAGAACCACGCTCAACTGCCGCCCACAAAGCTTCCCTCCAAACTTCCTCTTCTCACATACCCCAGCAGAGTCAGAGGGAAAAAAAACAACTCCTTTAGCGCTTTTCCTCAAATATTTGCAGATAATTAATTCACTGTTAATCAGTTGAGAGTGGTTCTTTTAGACTTTGTAAATAAAGAGACAGTGTCTCTGGCCCCAGCTGCTTGTTTTCAATGTGCCTCAGGACAGTCAGGAGGCTGCTTAGGCAGGGCCCCACCTGCCGCCCCCACAATGACCTTTCTCCATCCCAGTGACCCCAGGTGGGACTGGGGAGCCCATCCGCCTCCTCCTGGGTCCCCCGTCTCTGGCTCAGGAAGGCCGAGGGGTTTCCAGTGAGTCACTGTGAGCAGCTGGTGACCGAGGACCGCGTGAACACCAGCCCAGTTGCCACCAGACTATATTTAGCACATCTCAGAAAATCCCTCCTCTGGTGCTTCCACCTGTTCGCACATCCCAGCAGCCCTTCCACTGCTGTCGGCCCGCGCCTCTTCCTCTCTGGGCACGGCCCCGGGACCCAGGCAGCTAACCTGGCTTCCAAAAAGCCAGCTGGCTGCTTCCAACCTTCCTGCTTGCATACTTCCACGAGCTCCCAAAGGGACTCATCACAGGGCCCTGAGCTCCGCAGTCAGGGGCTTTGCCCCTCTGTTCTCACTTCTATCCTTGGGGGTCCAGCTAAATCCTGGAGGGGTGCAGACTTTCACAAAAACAGGACACAGGCATGTGACACCTGGTAACCCTTTTTTGCTGGTATGACCTTTGCCTACTATGGGGGTTCTCAACCTTGTTGCACATTAGAATCATCCCAGTGATTTTCAAAGTCCTGAAAGACTTTTCAAAGTCTTTCTTTCAAAGACCAAAAAAATCTGCAATGCTGTGGGGACAGGACCTCAGCACCAGTATTGTTCAGGACTCCCTAGTGTTTTCAACAGGCAGCCAGGGCAAAAGCCAAGGCTCTCAAGGATTAGTGTCTCTCACTGTCCTTCGCTGGCACACTGCTACTTGCCAAGGGGGCCCAGCCTCCTTGCCAGTCCTGCAGGCCTGGATTCAGCCTGCCTCTGAGGTACCGTGCCCTTTGTGACACTGCTAAGTTTCAGGTCTCACTGCGCCTCTGCTCTGACCTTCACCCACATCCTTTTCAAGCTCTACTCGACAGCTGTCCCCTCTTACCCCTCCTACTCCCCGCCCCCTAGCCACCAGATTCAGGGCTCCATTGGTCACTGCCAGCTCCTGTTCCCACAAATGAGACCCAAAGTGCCCTGCTGATGTGATACTTTCATGCAGATGGTCTACTGTTGGTATTTAAAGCATCTCTGGTCTGACTGATCTTGGATCATAATCTCCTTCATCAGCACACACTGCTGATGCTTCTATTCTCTGTTCTCCTCAGGACAGATGAGAAGTTTGCAGGGGTCGAGGGGAGCTCCCACAGGAGACGATAAGACATAGCCTTCGTCTCTCAGGAGCTGGCTGCTCCACCATAAAAGAAGAGCGAACGCAGAGGAATATAAACACCATCACAAAGCCGTGCACTTAGCTTCTATGGAGAAGACAGATCATACCATTAAGCCCCAGTTCTCACGTGTATGCATTTCTCCTTGGATGACACCTGACCAAGGCTAATGCATAACCAGGAACTTTAATCACTACTCATCAGTGAGGCCAGGATACATCAACCTGTTCTTATGAAAGAACACAGCGGAGGATAAGATGCAGAGGCGACACTGTGAGTTAGCTGTTATCCCAGAAAGGTTGTACAGGAGAAATGGCTGAGAAGTGCTCTCCTAGGTAACGAAGCTGGAGGTGCGGCATGAAAGAGGATGAGACGGCTACTACTACTTCTCTCAAAACAGAGCCCTGTTTTGTTTGGACCGGCACATATGCAGTTAACACCGTCTACTTCTCTCCCTCCCGTGCAGCTGGGGTGGCCATGTGATACAGCCCAACCACCCAGCTTTCTCCCACTAAGTCGCAGCCACTTGCATCTGCAGACAACAAAATCACACACATTCAACTCGGATTGTTCTTCAATAAAGCACCTGCCTTTGGTACTTGAGGAGAGATTCCCAATGAGTCCTTGGGAGAAAGTTGGAAATCAAGGCACTTAACACAGGTGAACATAAACAACTGTTCCAACGTGTATTTAGAATGTCACAGAGGGCTACACCTCGATTTTAGATGCTACTCTGGACACATCAAGAAGTGGGGTGCCTCTCTTCTCCCTTTACCCTAAAAAAAGAAGCCTTTAAAAATTGCTATACAGGGCCTCCCCAGGTGGCACAGGCAGTTGAGCACAGCACTGTGAAGCTGTCCGCAGACTCTGCAGTGCGGGTTCGATTCCCCGCCGGCCAGGGAGATACCCACATGGCGTGGCAGACCTCTCCTGTCTCGCCCACTGCTCCCCTCTGCAGTGTATCTCGTCAATCTGCCTGTTCTGTTCCCTGCTCTGTCTCTGGTGAATCCTCCCACTCTCCCACGCCTCTGGATTGTACCCCAGTTCTTGTATAAATAAATAACTCAATCTTAAAAAAATTGTTATACAAAATTCCATAGTCGGACAAAGTAAATAAGGCACAATGGGTTATTTGCTTCCACAGATTTGGCCACAGGTTTCTGGTGAAAAAGTAACTGATGCCAAGATCCCAAGCAGATTTGAAATTCTGGTTGCAGATGTTTAGCATTAGCATAACTCAGGTTTCCCCTGATACACAAAAGCAGAGGGCACCTGTGAAACCTCGCATAAGTCGAAATAGCAAAACATGGAGAAGCAGTTACCATTCATTCATATGGAAAAGTTTATGAGCGTTTTCAGACCCAGAAAATAGCCTACCAAATCATACCAAATAACACACAAAACCTAAAATAACACTAGCATACAGTAAAAGTGGCAATGAGGTGATAAACACAATCGGTATAAAGCAGTTCCAGGGAAGGAGGCTTATGGGGGTGGGCCTTGCCGCCCTGGGCACCCCTGCCTCTAGGACCCTACTGCCAAACAACATAACTCTGTATTTTCGATTTTCACCTTTTCTCAGAAAGCAAACATCTCCTTCCAATTTCTTTCAGTTAGCGAATACAAGTACTGATGCAGGTCTTTTGAAAAAACAAACCGAGTAGTCTAACATGAAATTTTAAAAAAGGTAGAGGATCTCTGGATAAATTTTTATCTGATGATGTTCCTATATTGTTCAAAGGTTACACTGATGCATAAAAGCAACACATTTGAATGGAGACAAACGCAACAGGATAAAAGCCATTTCCACCTTAGGCCTCAACACAGTGTGAGAAGCACCGAGGTTAATAATGATCAGTCCTCCCTACAGTGAAAACCAGGATACTCCTCAAACATCTCGCAAGCAGCCTCTGGAATATCATTGGGAGTACTTGCAAAGCACTGAAGAGCATTACAACCATAATGAGAAAGAATTTTGTCAACCTTCTCAGTTACGAGGACACTTGCACATATCTAGCTTCAGAGGGCCCTTGATGAGCCAGACCTGCAGTTCTTTATGGGCCAAGCACCCCTGCAGACTGGCCCCACCCGGAGAGATGCCTCCCTCCTGCTACAAGGGCCCCTGGGCCCTGTCACTGCTCCCCCTCCCTCTTTTCAGCAACATCACTTTAACTTTCTACCTTCAAATTAGATGAAATGGAAGCAACGTTTCTGGATCTCGGCCAGGGGGATAGATTCCCACGCTGATGCTGTAGAGAAATCACCACGTTCCATCACAGGGAACTCTTCATCTTAAAGACAGTCAGCAAAGAGAGCTCTAAATTGGGAGTCTTCCCAAGCATGGGAAATGTCACCAAGATGATGCAGCAGCTACAAACTGACGTCGGTGATGAATATTGCATTTTCGTGGTAATTGTGCTTTTTGTGTCTTGACAAAGCATGAGGGGATATGTGTATATGTGAGGGCGCGTGTGCCTCTGTGTGCTTGTGTGTATGTCGGAGTGTGCATTTGGGGTTTCCTTGTGGCCAGTATGGCAGGTTGAGACCTTTGCCAGTCTCCTGGTTTGAAATGCTTTGTAACACCCCTCCCCCCTCCATGGTTAACTGGGGCTCAAGCTGCACTTGCACTGCACTGCACTGCACTGCCCCACATCCCTGTGAAGCCCCCTGGGAGGAACCAGGGCCCACGTTGTCTAGAAAGCACTTTAACAATGTGAGCGAGGATTGCCTGGCCTGGGGCAAGTTCTTCCCTAAGCTTAGTCTGGCTCTGGTTTCTTCTGATCAGGCTACATTCAACCCCACACTCAAGAGAAACTGCTGGTCACACATATTTTTTGTTGGCAAAACAAAACATTTTTAAAAGAAATACCCCGTGGGTAATATCTTTTCCCCATTTTACTGCAGGAATCAGAAGAGAACAATGGAGGAAAAAGGATGCAGGGGGTAAAAGGGACCAGAAAGAGGGAAGCCAAATCGTGGGCACCGGCCAGCCCCTCACCCCCCACCCCCGCGGGCTTGGCTGGCCCCAGCGGCCCTGGGGGGTACTTACCGTGGTCGTGGGCGAACACCAGCATCTCCAGCCCCACCAGCATCTGGGCCACCTCATCGTAGCGGCCACAGTGCTCTCCGGCTCCATGGGACACAAAGACGAGGGCCCTGCAGGGACAAGAGGGGAGCCTGGTTAGGTAGGCAGGGGCCCAAGGGAGCTGCAGCTTGAACATTTTGGCTTTGGTGGCATCACAACGCGTCAGGGACTAAGTCTCAGGCTACATGTGTTAGCAAAGTGGAAGGGGTATGCTGTTAAAATGCTGGACTTCGGGGTCACACAGAATGGAGCCTGAATCTTGGGCAAAGTAGACATTCCAAGAAACTTCAATTCTTCATTTGGAAAACCCAAACAATAACAGTTACACCATGGGAGGAGGGGCTGTGAGGGTCCCGGAGGAAGGAGGATACATGGCAGCTCCTTCATGGCCGCTCAGGCCGAAGCCAATCAGAGTCCACTGACTGGCTCAGGGGCAGGCAGGTGACTCGCTTCCGGCCGCAGCAGACAGGAGAAGCACCTTCCTGTTCCCCGGCCTGGAGCCATGGAGGCTGGAAGACTTGGGTGGCCCCCGCAGTCTGGCCAAAGCCAAGGACGGGTCACCCACAGGAGAGCGCCGTGAAGGAAGGATACCAAGCCCGAGTGGTATTGTTTGAGCCCTGACCCCCCTAACACTGGCTGTGTTGTTGGGGTCACCGTGTCTTCTGTCACTTGCAGTTGGAGGGACCCTAACTGACACACAGCTCTTCTCACTTTTAGTGCGGAGTAATTTACTTCACACCCTTTCCCGCACAGGCTTCTGGAGTTTTTATCACACAGGCCTTTATTGTCTTCCCCATCTCTCCATCAGGCATGTTCCTCCCCTCCCTTCAAAAGCCAGCCTCGAGCTTCCATTCCAAGTTTACAGTCCCGGAAGGAGTCTCTTGTCTGGGTACAGGTACCCCGTTACTGCAGGGAGGCAGCTGCTTTCCACCTGACGCCTCTGGTCAGAATGCGTGGGAGGGATGCAGACTTCTTGCTCTTTCTTTATGGCTAGCAGTTTTGAGCTCATGGACGACCCTCTGCAGATACTATTTGGATGGATGGATGGATGGATGGATGGATGGATGGATGGATGGATGGATGGATGGATGGATGACGAAGGTGGTGAGGTTTTAAAACAAACAGCTATATCTGCACCTAAGATCCATGCAGGAAAAGCCTCAGGGGCTGGAAGCAGAATTCCTTCCGGTGCCCAGGCACCCCTGGAAACCCTCGGTGAGCCATGGCCCCTTCAACACAAATAATGTGAGCTATGGCTCATCCCAGCTTCTTCACTAGTCAGAGTCAGACCCTGGGTGGGGGGGCTAGGGAGAAGGCATTTAGATTCCTGAATCTCCAATGTCAAGACTCATATTCTGAGCATAAGACCCAAGGTGGTGGGGGGAGGGGCAGAGTCGCCTCAGGCCAGGGATGGCTGCTTGAGCCACACCCACCCAATTTCTGCGGAAAAAAAGATGCTGAGGAGGAGGAAGAGCAGAACCACAGTTGCTATTTTACTAAGCATTTATTATGTGTCAGTGCCTCTGTTAATTCCCCATGTAAGATTTCTAATCCTAATAATTATTGTAAGCTTTATGTTATTTACAGATGAAAGGGAAATTCAGAGAAGTAAATTGCCAAGTCACACAGAAGCTGACAAAATGTAGATAAGAGCGCATCACTGCCCAGCTTTCAGGTCTCCAGTGGGCCGCCAGTGGGCTCAGAATACAAACCATCCTGTCCCTTGACAGCTGCTTCTGGCCACATCCCTGGCTCATTAACCTTCCTCAGGTTGTTCTTCTAGCCATTCATCAAAAGCACCCAGTTCTTCCCACCCCAGGGTCTTTGGCGGTACCACCTTCTCCCTGGAGTCCTCTACCCCAGATAGCTCACGGCTGCTCCTCATGCTCAGGCCAAGGCTAGGGTGGCCCCCTCCCTCCGGCCTCTCTGACCTGGCCCCTCCCTACATGTCACAGGTCACAGCTCCTCACTGTTTGCACTGGCCCCTACCTGCACATCACTTTGCTGATGTTTCGCGCATTCATTTGCTTGTCTAGTTCCTGGCTCTCTCTTCCACTTTGAGGTCAGCTCAAGAGGCCAGGAGCCCGATCCACCTCACCGCTGGCAGAATCCCAGAGCTACAGCCCAGCCTAGTGGCACCAAGCAGGGACCTGCAAGTATGTGTTGAGCAAATAAAGCCCCAGTTGGAAAGCCTGTGTCTCTCTTCAAGCCCTCTCCGCCAAGCTGCGTCAGGGCAGAAAGGGGCCAGTTTGGTTCAATAAACTACTATCTTATTCTCTGAGCAGTGTACAAAGTCCTAGCTTTGGCCTCATTTTCCAAATCACCATTTGGCATCTATCCTCCTGCCCTTTCCCTAAAAACCCGAGAGAAACCCTCCCCACTGTCTTCAGGGCTCCAGGGAATGCCTGGCCACCTCGGCTCCAGGCCTCAAATCGGGCAAATGACATCAGCCCACCTGACACGTCTGGAGTTGGCTGACGAAATTCTCTCAGCTACTGAGGGGTGTGGCTGGAACCTCTAAATATCATCTCCCCATCTGCAAAAGGGGTTGTGTTTCCAGAAGGAACGGTTCAAGCACTTTAACGCCCCTTGGGAACAAAGCAGCTGCCCTATTCATGCAGCCCCCAGTTAATGCAGGCGGGCAAGTGACCCAGCCACGCGCGCTGCAGTCCACTGCTCGCTGTGCTCAGGGCCTCTGGGCCGAGGACGACGTCAGGGTCCCATTCAGCTGCGGCACCACGCCTGCCCTGGCCTGCTAACAGTCCATCCCGGAGACAGCACATGGAAGTACATGGCCTCTTACTCTACAGACACTTCTAAGCCAGTGGCTCGCAACTGGAATCACTCGGGCAGTTTTCAAAACTCCAGAGGCTGGGTTTTTGAAAGAAACCCCAGAAAAATCCCTAGCTTGCAACGGTCTGAGTGGGGAAAGCTCCCAGTGGCACCTGCCCTCATCACAGTGTGCAGGTTGGGCGGCACCCTAGTTGGGACAGAGAGGAGGTCTCTCTGATGCCCCACGGGACTTACCAGTGGCAAGAATGCAGCCACGTTGGCCTGGAGATTTACAGCCGCCTTGGAGCCACTTAGCTCCCTAGGGGACAGGCTGGGTAAAACAAGGGTTATCTCCACACAGGCCTGGAGCCACAGGAGCTTCCTGAGATTACCCCTCTGGGAAGCAAACAGACCCATCTGCTGCCCAGCACAGGTGGCAGTGGTGGGGGCAGCTCCTGCAGACTCAGACCCAGGCGGGCATCTGGGCCCCGCACTCCGACAACTGGCCTCAGCCCTAGGCAGTCACTGCTGTAACTGGGATTCTCTTGAGTCCCTAGATTCAGCTTTTGCCTGGGCTTTGATTCTGATTAACCAATGTCTCCCCCACCTCCATCTCCTCACATTTATTCCCTCGACCAGGGTCTTTGTTTAGAATCTGTCTGACAAAGTGTGAGCCAAATTATGTTACCCTTCTGCTTAAGCCCTCAAGACCTCTTGCAATAGGACAGAGCCTGCTGCCTCTGACTCTATGGTAACTTTATGCTCCCTCGGCCCGTTGTGGAGCCCCGGGGCTCCTTTCTGGTGCTCAAAAATGCCAACTGGACTGTGCTTTTAAAGGTTTAACAACCGGGGGGGGGGAGGGGAGGGTTGTCCTGATTTACAGTGTGTGCCGATTTCCGTGGTGTAAATGCACCTGCCTGGCTGATTTCAAGTTATTAATGCGATGTCACTGAACAGAGCTGGGAGTGGGTGTGCCCACTCCAGCACACCGCTGGGCAAGCCCTTTCTTCCCGGGAATGGATGCACCCACCTGAGGCTTCTTCTGGGCATCCCCCAATCCCTCAGTCTTTGTGTGCTGGCTCTGTCTGTCATCTGAAGCTCAGACCTTTCGACCCTTTCAGTTCAAGCAGGCTCTTCAGTGCTCATCGTATCTAAAAATACTTACGAACCGACATGTTTTCTCTCGCCTCCCCTGACTGAGGGCCGAGGTCTCATCATCTCATTTACTACTATCCTCAGTTGAGAAAAATGTTAGCATGTAGGGGAAGCTTAGTAAGGATTTATTGACTGACTGAACGACCCTGAGATGTGAGATCCTGAGGCCTCCACTGTCGTCCCCCAAGTTCAGAGCTCAGATTCAGCAGGGATCTTGGGATGCCAGGCTGGCACCAGGGTTTCCATTGCTTTGCCCCCACTGCCTGTCAGGACACCCTACCCCTCCCCTACCAGACCTCTCCCTCTCCCTCTCCCTCCCCACATACCTGCCTCAGGAGCAGCCACCATCTTATGTCCCATCTATGCTCTAAACGTGAGGCCAGGGTATCCCCAGCTCCCTCTGCCTCTCAGTTTGCAGCCCCCCACTTTGTTGCCAGGGGTGCATCTACCCATATTGAGCTACGTGTGTTCCTGCCCTCACACAGCTGACAGTCTAGTGGGAAAAGAAGGATGGTCAGAGACAATACAAGTGCAGCGTGAGAAGATGCCGTGAACACACAGAGGGTCACACAGGAGCCTTGTTTGGGCAGCAAAGAGTGGCCAGAGAAGGCCTCCCAGTCTGTACGCTGAGAAGAGAAGGCCAAGGAAGAGACGAGTCCTGGGTGTGGACAAGAGCAGCCCAGGTGCAGGGCTTTGCCTCGGGGCAAGACAGGTGCACCTGTCCCAGGCACAGAAAGAAGGTCACAGCATCTGGAATGCTGCTCAGAGGAGGAGGGGCCCTGGAGCGGCTATGAGAGAGGAGGCAGCCAGAGTCTGCAGGGCCGGGAAGCTGGGGGTTTCTTGGTACAGAAGAGGGTGCCACCAGGGCAGTGACCTGATATGACTTTGGAAGAGCACCAGGCTGCTGTGGACAGTGAGTGGGGAGACAGGGGACGGCGTCTGTCAAGGAACCTGCACAGCCAGGCCCTTAGCTGGTGCCAAGGAAAGCGGCTCCTTCCTTCCCTCCCTCCCCACGCTTCCTCCCTCCCTTCTCCTTGGGCATTCTGCAACCTCGACAAAGAACAGCAGCAGAAAATTAGCAGGGCCATTTGTGCAGACAAGGCAATACCCACAGCAGCAAAAATTAGGTTGCAGAAGAGGCTGG